AACCAAACTGTATACAGGAGTGGCACCACATCGTCTTTCCAAGTGAGTCCTGCGTGCATCACCAAGATGAATGCTCCATATCTGGAATACTCACGTGATATTCGATGTCCTCATATGGTCCATGCACCATCTGTGATGGTATGGGTAGCCACACGAACACTTCTTATTCGCGTTATCAGTAGTCTGAAGAGCCAGCATTTCATTTATCCTATCTTAAGGCCGGTGACTGGGCCCTATCTTCGAGTCCTCAGAGACGTCATCAAAAGAACGCAAGACGATCTGTCTTAAGAGTTTATGGAGAGAACGACACGGTAAGCATAAGGTTGGCAGACACAAAAAGAGCTTTAAAATTCTTTTTCCGAATATTTCTATTATGATGGAATCATAAAATTACCTGCAGCAGTTTCCAAAATCAAAATTCTATATTATTGGGTTGTTTGGAAAGTAATTTCGTTTTTTCCCGACAGAGGATTTAATTGTATTTTTTTACACCCAACTTCACATTTAAGCCGTATAATTTTTATTTGCTTTGAGAGATCATATAGCAAGGCTTGTGTATGAAAAGTTCCAATTAATTCTACGCAGTAGTTTTTGGTTGGTGCCCTTTTAAATATGGAGAGCGATAAGCAGCATTTTCGACATATCTTACTGTTTTACTACAGAAAGGGTAAAAATGCTGTTCAAGCCAGAAAGAAATTGACCGATGTGTATGGAGAAGGTGCGCCAGTGCCAGAACTGGTTCGCTAAATTTTGATGTCGAAGATGCACCACGTTCTGGAAGGCCGGTTGAAGCTGATAAAGACGCGATAAAGGCATTAGTTGATGCGAACCGGCGAATAACACGTGAGATCGTATTGAGGTTAAATTTATCAAATTCAACAGTTTATGACCACTTGAAAGGCCTGGGATTATCCTCGAAGCTCCATGTATGGGTTCCCCATGTTCTCACAGAGAGAAATCTGTGTCGCCGCATTGACGTCTGCGATTCGCTTCTCAAACATCACAAAAATGATCCGTTTTTGATGCGCATCATCACTGGGGACGCGTTGACAGTACTCCAGTGCCAGAATGGTTCGCTAAATTTTGATGTCGAAGATGCACCACGTTCGGGAAGGCGGTTGAAGCTGATAAGGACGCGATAAAGGCATTAGTTGATGCAAACCGGCGAATAACAACACGTGAGATCGTATTGAGGTTAAATTTATCAAATTCAACAGTTTATGAACACTTGAAAGGCCTGGGATTATCCTCGAAGCTCCATGTATGGGTTCCCCATGTTCTCACACAGAGAAATCTGTGTCGCCGCATTGACGTCTGCGATTCGCTTCTCAAACATCACGAAAATTATCTGTTTTTGATGCGCATAATCACTGGGGACGAAAAGTGGGTTGTATACAACAACGTCAAACGAAAGAGGTCATGGAGCAAAAAAGATGAACCGGCTCAAACCATTTCCAAAGCAGATATTCACCAAAAAAAAGGTGATGCTGTCTGTTTGGTGAAATTTTAAAGGATCGTTTTTTTTTTTTAGCTTTTACCGGATAACACAACGATTAATTCGGAAGTCTACTGTCATCAGCTGGACAAACTGAATGATGCCGTTCAACAGAAGAGGTCATAACTAATCAACAGGAAAGGTGCAGTGTTTCACCAAGACAACGCGAGACCTCACACAAGTTTGGTCACTTGCCAAAAGCTTTTACAGCTTGAATGGGATACAATGCCACACCCACCATATTCTTTAGACCTGGCACCATCGAATTATTATTTGTTCCGGTCACTCCAAAATTTTTTAGACGGTAAGACCTTCACCTCAAATGAGGAGGTCAAAAACCACCTCGATCAGTTTTTTGCCAGCAAAGACCAAAAATTTTATGAGCGTGGAATTATGCTACTACCAGAAAGATGACAAAAGGTGTTGGACCAGAACAGTCAATATATAATTTAATAAAGTATTTGTTTATTATACGAAAACTGTCTTTTATTTCTACAAAAAAAAAAAAAAACGAAATTACTTTCCGAACAACCCAATAGGATCAAGAACGAATTTTAAATTACTTTAGCTTTAGTTCTGTCCTTTTGTTTTTATCTGAAATTCTTTAACATGAGAAGCTGATAGATATTTCGTCAAAGGCCTCTCGTAATTCGATTTTTTAGAAGCTACTTAAATTGACATTTTTTTCCCCTTTAGACTCCTTGACAAAAGATTGTACGAACAATATGTAAATCAAATTAAACAGAACAACTCAAAACACAAGTTTCTTTAATCATAGTAACTAAGCTTGTTTACTCCATACACAAAAAAAAAGGCAGTATAGCAATATATTTTGAAAGCAGCACAATATGAATAGCAGTATTCCATATTTCAAAGATAAATTTCGTAAAAAATATCTATGAGTGTTGTACGAAAATAGAGAGCAAATTTGTAACAATACAATTTATAAAAAATCATGTTTCTTGAGGTCGCAGGTATTGCAATATTTTGTTTTTGGATTAAATTCATATTTTAATATTGTCATTGTCATTGTCATCTTAATTGTCATTTAAATAGAATTAAATCTATTTTAAGTTAGTTTCATTCATTATAAAAATATGTATGAAAACACTCTTTACCATACTTGTGTATATATATATCTTATAGCCTTAAAAAATATTTTTAAAAAGTTTTAAATAAAACGAAGAAAAAAATACAAAAACCAAAGGAAGAAGCTCAAATAACACCAGAAAAACAAAGAAAAGAAAAGAAGAAAAATTAAAACCTCAACAAAGAGTAGTAAAAACAAATACTCTTCAGAAAACAAAAAAGAACACAAAAAACACGAAGAAAAAAATATAAAACAAACATGTTTATCACGTTAATTTTGAATATAAATTTCCTACTTTTTAAAGACGATTGAGCTATTTATTATGGTGATTTATAGTTAAATTCATGTTGATTATTCCTGACTTTATATGCCCTGGAAACTTCAGAATTACTAATCATTTTATAAAAAAAAAAGTGTGTGTGTACTTACGTACGCACGTAGGAAGTTATACTTCTTTGGCGTAACAAGATTAAAATCTTTCTAAAAATCTTTAGCCGGGCAAGCTGGGCTAAGGGCAAAAGGCGGACACGAGCAGAATTGAACGATACTAACCTTCAGTCAATTGGACCAGCCAAACCTGAGATAATCATGATTTAAATAAATCTAAACACCCCCGCACAGGGACAATAGGACCAATAACATGGGGGGTATCAGACTGTATCTCGAGATAAGTGAGCCGAATGTGACATTTGAGACCTCATGCTGAATGTCTCGGCGGGAAGAATCGTTCCTGAGAAAATTAAGACATCCGCCTGAAGAGCCTCCGAATTATGGTCATTTTAAAATTACTAAAACATTTAAAACAATTAAATAAAATAGAAGCAGGGCACCCAGCAACTCGAAACTGGCCCTGGTTGTGAGCAGACACAAGAGGAATCCATCAGAACCGGTCCGGAGTTTGTAGTTTCAAATGGGGCGGCGCTAGCTCGAGAAAGTAAAACGAAATTAACCCCCCCCCCCGGAGTGGAACAACTATGACGTAAATGGTCACGTACATCCCAACGATACACAGAGTAGTAGGTGATCCCCAAGTTTCATCCTTCTATCTCTGTAATATCGTTACGTTATCAAAAGATCGAACCCCATAGGAAAAACATGAGGATTCTAATTTTAGTGATAACGCCTCCCCTAAGCCCACTATCTACACACGAATTATAACAGATGAAACAGCTCAACGAGGAAAACCTATGGTCCGAGTTTCATTAACGAATCTCAAAAATCATCGGAGCTATGCGGGATTTAAGAAAAAATTATAAATTTAAAATAATTTTAAAACGATAAATATGGGTAAAGAAATGGGGCTATGGTCCTGAAAAAATATATCTGGGATGCTCACAGGAAAAACAATCGAATCCAGCCGGTGCGGTCGACCAAGATGGCATAGGATTTGAGTTATTTCTGGGAAAGCCCTGTAGGGGGGAGGGCCAATTCCACGTAAAGCTCGCGCTAATACGAAAATATGGCGGACCTCCAAAAATCAAGCTCCAAACTCAATTTCTTAGGAGGGGGTGAAATTTGTCCAGTCCCCATAGGATTATCATGGGAGCATGATATTTTAGTGCTTAAACCCTCCCCATGCCTACACAATGGGAATGAAGCAGATGACTAGATGGGTCTCAACAAGTGGAACACTTGGTTCAAATCTCAAGTCCAAGACTCGAACAGGAGCCAAGATATTGTGAATTTAAACAAATTTAAAAAGTTTAAGACAATTAAAAACTATAGAAGAAATCGCCTTGTGAGCATGAAATTATAATAACTGGAAGAGCAGATAGAGAGGGATCGAATGAGCCAGGTCCTAATGGACTATGAGGCTCCGGTGCCGAGATATTAGCCAAAAAGCTGTAGAGGGGGAATGCGTCCCAACGGATATGCTTTATAACAATAGTTATTATGATCCCCCAAATATCTGTCCCATAGCACCAAAAAAGTGGTATGTTAAAATACTAGACAGCGGTGTGCGCGCGCATCGGTGTCGTGAAAGTATGCGCAAGCATCCGTGACGGTGTGCGCACGCATCGTAAAAATTTACCCCCATCCTTTTTCCCTAACGCCTAAAACGAAGGATAACTTCAAAAATAAATATACGAATACAAAAGACTGTTACAATTTGCTACAATGAAATAAATGTGCTTATGTTCATCTCAATGCGTTCGTATTAAATACATCTAAAATCATATACTTGCAATTGTTATTTAAAGAGGAAAACTAACATTTACTCTTATGTTTTATGTACATAAAACACAATTTAAAGATTTATTTACTAATTTTTTTTAAATTTCCTGTAAGTATGTTTGGTTTAATAACAAAAAGTGTTCAAACAAAGGCATCAGAGAAGCTCCGTAGGCGAAGGACGATCTCTCCCAACTAGTAGTGACGTCACAAATCAGCGCAAAGCAAAGGTTCGCAGACACGGAGGATATAGTTCAGTGGTAGAGCATTCGACTGTTAATCGAAAGGTCCCCAGTTAAAACCTGGGTGTCCTCTTCTTCAGGGAAGTGAAGAGAAATATATTTTTGAGAATTTGGAAGGCGAGAATAATCTGTCCCGTTCTGTATATTTCTAGACAAAGCATTTTCGTATCCGTTCCTACGGAACGCAAAACAAAGGTTCGCTGATGCGGGTGTATAGCTCAGCGGTAAAGTATTCGACTGCTGATTGAGAGGTCTGCGGTTCAAACCCGGGTGTCCCCTTCTTCAGGGAAGTGAAGAGAAATATTTTCCTGAGAATTTTGAAGGTGGCAATGATCAGTCCCGTTCTGTTTATTTCTAGACAAAGCATTTTCGCCCCGTGACGGTGTGCACGTGCATCGTAAAAATTCACCCTCATCCTATTATTCTAACGCCCCAAAAGAAGTATAACTTCAAAAAATTTCTGCATTTATAAGATAACTTCCCCTCTCTCTCTCTCTCTCTATGTACTTTTATGTCACAAATTAAAAAGAATAAATATCATTTTTTCTGCATCCAAATGGATAAAATGTAAAATTTAAAAGCATTGGAAAACTAAAAGAAACTTAAAATTTATTCGCAGTTATTAATATCTCTGCGTTTCAATGTAAAGTGAAGCTAATTGTCGCTATCTATTGGAGTACATACAATAGCTGAACTTAGATAATTTTTTTCAGTCTTAAATTAAAAGGCCTAAAAGAATCTCACGCAGTGTTTCTTATTTGTGAGATTTTGGTTTTTATAAACTACTCAATTATTTTCAAACCCCTTCAAAAATGATGTTACTTCTACCCGAGTAGAATTATTGCCTACAAAATATATGACATCCGTTTGTGAAATAATGAATTATTTATCTAATTTCCTCAAGCATTTCTTATCTAAGCACGTACCATAATATAGTTATGTTTTGTGAAGTGACATCTCTCTCTCTATTTATAGAATAATGAATTACTTTCCTCTTCCATTGAATCCGATCTAACCTTCACTTTCCGAGAACATCCATCGTACACGCCAAACGAAAAACAAATTTTAAAAAAGTTTATTAATTACGTCCCGAAGTCCGTGTCCCCTTTGGAACCGCCTAAAACCTCGAGCCGAAACGGGCCAATGTAATTGAAAAAAAAAAGAAAGAAAGAAGAAAAGAAAAGAATATTATCTCTCCATATTATTCCCAATGAAATTAAACCGCCACAAAAAAAACAACTCTGGCAACCCCAATTTTTTGGTTGGGGAACCGGCCTCCCCCCCCCCCCCCCCAAATCAAAGTGTTCCTTAATAAATTACCACTAATCATTTCCTCGGTGCCAGTGTCTGGGGCGCATTTTGCATTTTTCTGATTAAATTTCAAAGGAGTCGGCTCCTGAGACGCCTAAAAAGATGGGGTCGGGATCCTTTTTCGGGTCGTTTGTGCCCCAGCTGCCTTCTTCCCCCCAATGCACAGTTGAGAAGCCGCCTGCGTGGAACGCGAAGATAAGGTCCGGTTGTCGCTCTCCGTGATATATTTGATGATCCGCGCCGCCCCTACTGATTCCTCTCGCCGCCCCGATAAGAGCCCGGCGTCACCCTTTAACGCCTGTTAAAGCTCCCCACCTCCTATCATGACGCGGGGTTTAAATTTGCAAATGTCCAACTCTCGCCTTTAATCCCATGAAACGTTAACAGATACTTTCGACTGAGGATTCGCTAAGTTTCGCTTTAATTATTTTCAGTTCGTGTTAAACCACCCGCTGACAGTCCCACTGACGAGATAGACTCTAATTATCATGTTTCATAAAGGTCCAAGCGGTCCGCCTCCCTGATTTTTAGGCGGAGAGAACAAAAGAGAACTTTCCAGTCACTACTTTAACGCTACAGCAAATTAAATTTACTACAATAGTCGAGTTTATTGTTGAGACCTGACTATATGCACAGTAGTCAATTTTCTACCCAATAAAATAAAAGCGGAAATTTTAGTTAAAAAAATAAATGAAAATTCTATATTTAGAGTTAAGAAAAAATTTCCTTGGAGCAAGTAAGAGCGATTTCAAATACGGTTCAATGTAAAGTTAGTATCGTAAATCAGTAACATGAATTGTCTGAAAAAGAATTTTACTTACATCTTAACTATTTAGCAAATTTACATATAATATTAATAACCATCCAACGAATATGCTTCGAAATATTGAATTTACACTGACAAGCGTCAAACCATTAATAATTAATATAATTAGTCGTATTAATCCTTTAGAAAAGTAATTATTGATATATTGTCTCATTAACACAAAACACTAAAGTATTTATGTTCAAAGGAGTTTGTAATTTGAGTTTGGTGAGAAAAGAGACAAAGTCGAGTTATGGCTGTGAAAATTTAGAATGAAATCTGAGTTGAATCTTGTTCGCACTAACTAGTTATTATTTGTTGTACCCAAGAACAAACATTTTTTTTTAATTTAAAATCATTCCGAAGAAAAGCAAATTAAAATACGCACAATTTTTATAATGATATATGATCTCAAACAACTACATGAAAAATTGTTTCGCATTCACCCGTTTTCACAGCAATGTCGTATATTTACCAACATTATGTATTATTTCAGTATACTTAAAAATATCGCAAATAACTCTAATTTATTTCAGTGCCTTGTTACTTTATTTTTAGCTCCCATTTTCATGTATTTTTTCTGTACATTTTATAGTTTATTAGTAAAAAAAAAACTTGTTTTGAAAAAAAAAAAATTCATGAAAGATGACATAAAGGTTTGAATACATATTTAGAACTTCATGGTGTGTGAAATATTTTTTGATCTTAATTCTCCTTTGTGGTTTCTAACTTTTCTTTTATAGCTTAATGAATGAATTGAGAAAATCAAATAATATCTGATTTTGTACCCTACGGAAGAAATTCCTGTGGGAAGACTTTATTTGCCTCTCTAGATGGGTGCGAGGGGAGAAAAAAGAAAAGTCGAAAACAAAAGATCATTCGAAAACAATTATTAATTTACTGAAAGTAAACAAAATACATTCTGGCATAGTAAAAAATAAAATTAACATTTACACTGTTATAATATAGGCATAAATGTATCAGTACTGCACAATGTATTTCATAATTGATTTAACAATACTAAGTTAAAAACAAATTTAATAATTACCAGTGACCCCATGGGCTTGCCAAAGATAAAATTATACTCAAAATTTAACACTTATCTTGACAATTTTTGTATGGTGTATAAATAATCCCTTCCCTGCTGATTAAAGGTTCCCTCTCCAATGCCTCCGTTTTTTACGTATGTGATGTATTGTGGGAGGAATAAATCAGGAAATCCTCTGTTCTAAGTAAATCCTTCGTAAACACTGTCAAGGTCCTTTGATTGGATTCTAAAACTTTCGGAATAATTTTATGGGTAACAATGCACAGAAAAGATTGTACTTTGGAAAAACGTTTGTATACGTCCGGGGCATTTAACGCACTGGTTGAGCAAAACGTATATATACGCCGGTGGTTCTTAAGAAGTTAAAGTCGTAATGTAGATTTAGTGTCAAAGTGTAGTATTATTGTATTGAATGCATTGTTATTTGTATGGAGAGGGGGTGATGAAAATTATGATTGAATATTGGGTCGCGCGCAAAGATAGAAAATTTAAGAAGCACTCTCTCTGGTGTAAGCTAAACTATCATCTTCAAGATAATAAATGTATATTGTATTATGTTTGATGGCTTGTTTCGTATTAACAGCAACACAATAAAATATTGGCAGCAGCGGGTCCCATGTTCTCTCTATATAAAAGTACGACGAGAATATATGTAGCTATTATCTTCAAATTATCTTCAGAACCAATTATCTTACTTAATATAATATTATAATGAAAATTTTTTTGAAAATAAAGGAAATTAAGATTATGAAATCCTTTTGTTATTTAAGGTCTGAAAGCGATATAAACTTAGACACACAAATGTACATTATAATGCAAAAAGCGAATACAAAAGCATTGAAGAAGTTATCACTTGTAATGAAATTTCCTTTAAAAATACGTTTCGATCTATCTAAAAAATGATAAAATTTTGGTGGCCAATACATGAAGTGTTGGAATTCCAGAGCATGGAAACTGAGTATACGAATAATATTATGAAAGATTGAAGGCACTTCTAAATCTATTTTTACTAGATATCGAGTCCAATTACGAACTTTATTTCGTATCAACATTTTATCTGAAAAAAGTGCAACTAGGATGGAGGAAGGAGAGGGGGGGGGGATTAAGTCGGTGAATTTTTCTCCATTCCAGCTGGAAGAACGTAACCACGTGACGATATTTTGTAGAAATGTTTCAATTGTATTCAATACAGCATATAAGCCAGGAATGCCCAATAGGATCTTATCAAAGTGTCGAAATTAAATTAAATTGAACTGCAGATTTTTTTTCGAGTATCAGTACCTTATGTTTTTATGCATAGTACCAATGCAGTGGTGTATACAAAGGGCAGGGGGATCAACCTTCCCCCCAGAAATGTAGATAGATTTTTAACATAAAGATTACATCTCTGTGCGTGTGTGTGTGTGTTTTAAATATAACCCCCATAAAAGTAGTCTGTGTGTAGCAGTATAATGATACTTATCTGAAAGGGAGTGTTTATTAATGTGGTACTATAAAGCAACACGAGGGCGAGAGAGATGACGGACCTTGTCCTTCTAAACCACGATCAAGTGATGAGGACGACACCTGAGTTGGTATCTACCTCTCCAAAATACCATACCCCACCAATGGGAGGACTTTGAGCTTTAACAGATTTAACGTGAATCAGCCATCCCACACCCCCCCCCTCTACACGGCAGATATTCAGTGGCACTAAGACTCGAATTCATGACGTGCCGGCCACGAGCTCGTGACAACTTACGGGAGTTATTGGTATTAGGAACCATAGGATATATATCGACTACCTTTCTGAGGCTTTGCCAACCCGAACACTGTCGAAATGTGTCTAAGAAACATTCACTACAAACACAATGTAGAAACAGAATTTGGCGTACTTGTTACATGATGCTGTGTGTTTGGCTTAAAGTTC